CCTTTGCGCGGCCCTCGGCGGGGGGCCCGCCGCCAATGACCCCGAGCCGCCAGAGCAGGGGCCCGGCGCTTCGGAGGAGACGCAGCGCCCGAAGGCTCGGAAGATTCCCGCGCAGCCGCCGCAGGAGGAGGAGGGGGGGCATGATCTTCAAGGGCCCGTTCAATACAGGACGCGGCGCAGACACTGCGCGGTTGCGAGGGCGCACGGGCAACCTCATCACGAAGTTGTCGAGGACGACCCGGACGGCACAGAGGTGATCTCAGATATCGCCACGGGTTATTTCTTCATGGGCGAGGGGGAGAAGGCGGCGACGCACGCGCTCGTCGAGAACAGGATCAGCGGCACGATCGGCGCGACTGCTTTGGACGGCAAGACGAGCGCGCACACGGCGAGGCATTTCGCGAACTTCTTGGTGGAGCTCGGGCACCGCAGGAACATCGCGAAGAGCGATGACGAGCCTGCGCTGTTGAAGCTGCGCAGGGAGGCGGTCGAGGACCCTCAGATCGAAGTTGCGCCCCAGGTGTCGCCTGCGAGCGATCCCCTGGCCAATGGTGCTGCTGAGAGCGGGGCCCGCGAGATGAAGGAGGGCACCCGCGCCCCCAGGACTTCCACCGAGGACGAGCATGGAGGCAAACTCACAGAGGACCACGCGCCCCCTGCGCAGTTCGCGCGGCACGTGTCTCAGACATCCAACCAGGGCAGAATCGCCGAAGACGGGCGCGCGCCCGCGCGCCGGATAACCGGCCGGCGGCGGAAGATGCCAGCACTGTTGCTCGGAGAGCGCACGATGGCGAGGTTGGCGGCGAACAAAGCTGGCAAGCGCGACGACGAGAACACCATGGCTCCAGGCGTGTACGTCGGTCAGTCCGCGCGGCCAGGTAGCCTGATAAGTTCGACGGAGGACGGCGCTCGCTTCGCGAAATCGCTCCGGTAACTACCCTAGTATGATTTTCAATCGAGCTATTCTCGACAAAGTTCGGGGCTTGCCACGGGATGCAGCGCGTCGCGGGGGTCGAGCGCCACAGGTTTTAGATGGACGGGGGGCTGTCGGACTTTCTATTATACTTCCTTCTGGTGCTGCTGGAGCTCAGGAAGGGATCAAGAGGGGCGCGCGCATCGCGGCCAACATTGAAGAGAAGTACGGCACGGCGGAGGCGTACCCAGCCTGCGCGGCGATCTCCCTCGGAGGCTCGACGAGGATGGGCCGCGCGTCGACATGTCGTTCACGGATCGCGAAGGCGACGGAGAAGGAACCCGCCGGTCGTCTCCGACTGGCGGCGGCGAGAAGACGGAGAAAGGCTTCGACGGTCGCGCCGGATGCCGAGCAGGAGCCCGAGGTGGAGGACGCGCCGCGCGCGAGAAGCCAGGAGGAGAAGGAGGAGGTGGACATGATTGTGGAGGAGGGCATAGCAGGAGAAGCATTGGAGGACGCACCGGAGAGTGTAGGACAGAGGGCAGAGCACCTCCCACACGAACCCATCTACAGTTTGAAGGGGGGTCCACAGGCAGGCAGCGAAATTCGGTCGCAATGCGAAGTACGACATCGACATCCTAGACGGGCACTACAGCCATCGAGCGCAGGACCTGCGAGCTCCACAGCATGACGGGCCGCGCCGGGACCTCGGGAAAGACGCGCAGGAGTGCCCCTCGAGGAAGCTGACAAGGAGGTGCCCAGGCCAGACGCGCAGGCAGACGGCTCAAGCGCATCGACGTCGGCACCGGCCGCGGGTTCGAGCTGAGGAGCGATGGCTGGGACAAATGGCGTCTCAGAAAAATTGGCGTCGGCGGCGGGGCAGCCCCACAGCGAGGACGTAGATGCGTTCTGCGCGCATGCACAGGCATTTCACAGAGACGGCGAAGCACGCGACGGAGTTTTACGCCGGCTCGGAGCCCGAGGGCGACGCCGACGGCGCCCGGGGAGCGGCCCGGATCGCAGTCGAAATGTCATCGGTTGACGTCAGCGAGGTGCTCTCCCGGAGCGGTCGTCGTCTTGGATTTTGCGCAGGTCTTGCGACTGATTTGCTACCAACTCAGCGACCTGACGGGCGCTTCCGGGACCTGTCGCGGGATGAGGACATTGATATGTCAGGCAAACTACAGGGAAAGTGCAGGCCAGAGGCGTTGATCGGGCGTCCATCGAGCACAGTGTTTTCGAGTTTACGATCGCTCTCGAAAGTGGGCGCGGGCCCGAACACCGCGAACTTAGAGGTCCAGGGTGGCCAGAGGCATTTGAGTGCGAGTGTCAAGGAGTACAGGAGTACCGGAAGCAGATACAGACGAACAAGCTGTTCTTGCATGAGGCCCCTGGGTTTGCCGCCCCTGGGGGCGCAGACATCTTGGCAGAGCTGGAAAACATGCTGGGGTATACAGAGTGGCTGGCCCCATGCGCAAATCGAGAAAGGCCGGCACCACCCAGAAAGAAGAGCCCGGGCACTCGCGGAAGGAGACGCCGCGGTCGACAAATCCGAGGGAGTTAGCCGCTCTGCTGCATGACGAGCGCGCGAAGCTGGAGGGTAATAGTGGGCGGCGTCGGCATGTGCGTCCAGTTGGTTTTCGCGAGGTGGGGTCTACGCAGGTATCCACCCAAGCTTAGGTTTGCGATGTTATTTGGGGTTCGTGAACAGCTGTTCCGCCAGATGAAGCTGTCGAGCATGGGCATCTGCACGGCCGGGCCTATAGTTGAAGAGCCGGGGGTGCACGGCGACGACCGGTGGAAGACGTGTTACGGCACCGTCAACGGTGGGATTTTACCGACGAAGTAGGCGGGCCACGCTAGGCGCTAGGCAATTCAAGCCGGACTCGCTTGCCCGGGAGGGCGCGTGCACCGAGGTCCCGCGGGGGGCCATGGGGAGCGAGGGCTCTGCTGCGACCCCGCTGCTCTGAATTGACACCAACAAAGGCAACGCTTATAAACTTGTCGCGCGTTCTCGATCGATCGGTCGCGACGGAAGCCGCGAAGGCAAGAAGGCGAAGTTCGAGCAGTTGAGTCCGGAGAAGTTGTTTTCGGCCATGCCGTGGCTGGAGGCGTTGAAGTTCCCCTGCAGAATACGGGCGACGCAACAGCGGAGTTCCAGAGGCGCCGAGCTCAAGCTAGCTTTCTGGGACATCTCACGGGCGCATGTCATGTCGATGTGCGAGCGGAGGTGGTTTGTCAAGTTGCCCGAGGTAAGTCCCGACAGACACATTCATATTGGGATGCTTCAGAGGACCATGTACGGGACTCAGGACGCAAGCCACCCAGGGCAGAATAACTACACCAACCATGTGGTTGAGAAGGGTTACGTTCCGTGTGAGACGAACCCATCTATATTCTACGACCCATTTGATGGTCCACGGAGAGATGACTGCGGTCTCTTGGGTGATCGCCGCTCAACCACGGAAATGGACGCGCTGCCGAACTCTAGTTTCACTCGCAAGCACGCGGCAACGCCTGGCAAAGAGGCAGGCGACTCCCAGAAGGGGCTCATCTCGAACAGGATTCTCCGCATCACGGAGGAGGGTATTGAGATCGAAGGAGACAGTAGGCACGCAGAGCTTCTTGCACGAGATTGGGTTTCAGGTAAGGCCACATGTGTAGATGATGCACCACGCGTGAAACATACTGACTCAGACGCATGGTAGGGTGCAGAGAGCAGAGTGGTTTCGAGTTCTGAGGCTACACTGCAACGTTCTTGCGTAATGCGAGCAAGCTAGATTGGACAAGACTGGCTGGACATCCAGGAGGCGATAAAATGTCTCGCGCAAAGCATGAACAAACCCAGCGAGTTTAACTTCCAAGAGCTGAAGCGCATTGGGCGCCACGTTCTGGGGCGGCCAAAATCGATCCTGATGTTCCCAAAGTCGGCGACGCCAACCTCGCTGGGGGCTTGGGTCGATGCAGACCACGCCGGGGGCATCATCGACGGGAAAGTCACCAGCGGGATGGCAATCTTCTTTGGGGGTTGAGAAGCAACTGCTCAAGAGCAGCTCAACGGTGCAGAGCACGATCGCGTTGAGCGTCGGCGAGAGCGAGTACTATGCCGCAGTGAAAGGTAGTACCCATGCCTTGGGTATCAAATCCTTGATGGCGGACTGGGGGCTCTCGTCTGCAAGTCGCCTGAACGTGAGAACGGACGGCGCGGCAGCGAAGGGACTCGCAACTCGTCGAGGTCTGGGCAAGCAGAGACACGTCAACATTCTTTGTCTATGGCTGAAAGAGCGAGTGGCGGGCGGGGACATTCGGATCGTGAAGGTTCGGGCTACCGAGCACATGGCCGACCCTCTGACGAAGGCGATGGCCGTCGGCATAAGGGACCCTCTGATTACGACAGCCAGCTAAGTTTTCGACTCGACCAGGGCTGTGGGGCAGAAGGGACTCGTGGCCTGAAGCGAGTTTTCTGGCGTAGGTCCGTGGCCACCGCGCCGCTACCACGTTATACCATATTCTGGTATGGCAGCATTTTGTTGCCTGGACCCGAGGCGGGGTGATCAGAGCGCTCGTGTAGACATGCAGCAGTGTATCATTAGCATGGGACGGTAGGAAGAGACAGGTCGGCCAGCCCTCCCCTCCCTCGTCCTCCGTCCCACCCGTCCGCCCATCCTCGTGTTCCTTCCCATCCGCCTCCTCATATGATTCCTCGTCCTCCTCCTCCTGCGCCTCATCATTCTCTGCTGTCCTCTCCTTCCCCGTCCTCCTTCTCCGCCTCCTTCCCCTCCTCCTCTTTTTCGTCGCCCCCGCCTCTTTCCCACCATCATAGGTAATGCTCCTCCCCCTCTCGTCCTGCTCTTCCTCGCCGCCCCCCCGCTTCCTTCCCACCATCATACGTAATGCTCCTCCTCCTCCTCATCATCATCATCATCATCATCATCATCATCATCATCCTCCTCCTCCTCCTCATCATCCTCTTCCTCCTCCGCCTCCTCCGCCTCCTCCTCCTCCTCTCCGTCTCTTCCCCGCCCCCCTCATCGTTTCGCCCCCCGCCCCCTTCCCGCTGGAGAAGCCGCGGCCGAACGGCGCGGAGGTGGTGGCGCCGCCTCAACGCCAGCAACGAGGGGGCGTCTCCGCCCGGAATACAACGAACCCGCGGGCTACCCCCCCGCGCGCGGCACAACATTTCACGGAAGCGCCCCGCGGGCGGCTTCTTCGCCGTGCGCCTTTCGGGCAGTCAGGGCCGCGGGGGCCAGAAGGAGGAAGGAGGAGGAGGAGGAGGAGGAGGATTCATCTTCGTCTTCCTCGTTATTCCTCGTCCTCCCTTCCGTCCCCCTCCTCAGCCATCCCTCCTCCAACTTCCTCTTGGAGAAAGTAGGAAGAGGGAGGAGCGAGGAGGAGGACGACGAGGAGGACGAGGAAGATGAGGAGAGGGAGGAGGAAGGAGGCAGGAGGAAGAGGGAGGGGAAAAGGAGGAGGAGGAGGAGGACAGGGAGGACAAATGGAGGAGGAGGAATGGAGAGGAGGAGGAGAAGGAGGAGGAGGAGAAGGAGGAGAAGGGGGGTTGGAGGAGGAGGAGGAGGAGGAGGAGGAGGAGGAGGAGGAGGAGGAGAGGAGTAGGAGGAGGAGGGGGGTGGAGCAGGGGCAGAGGAAAGGGAGGGAGGACGGAGGGAAAAGGACGGAGGAATGTGGGGCCTCCACCAGATCCACGTGGCTTCCGCGCGGCTGCTGCTCGCGCGGCGCTCGTTGCTGAGACGCCAGTCGTCTTTCATCGCGCCGCCAGCGCCACGACGAGTAGGAGGAGGAGGAGGAGGAGGAAGAATGGGAGGAGGAGGAGGAGGAGGAGGAGGAGGAGGAGGGAGGACGAGAAGGAGGAGAGGGAGGAGGAGGAGGAGGACCAGTGTAAAACCAAGAGTCATCAACGATGTTGGGATTAAAAGCTTCCTCTTCATAGACCCCCACAACGGTTCATTGCCATTGAGGGAATTGCCTTGTTGGAAGACAACCGTTTGAAGACCTTGAAGCATGTCAAAACATCTGTCTCGGGATTTCAACGCCACGTATCAACCTGACTACTGTGCCTTGACGATCCGGAATCATGCCAGAGCGCCATTTGGGGGTTTTCAACACTGCGGATCAGCATAATTGTTGCACCCGCGTAATCCTGAATCCTTCCAAAACACCGTTCTTGGTACGCTGATCATGGAAATCCGTGACACTCTTACAAATGTTGAAAACGAATGTGCGCGGCGCTAAGGCGAGAGCCACAATTTGAAAAGGAACCGCCTTCAATCCGTGAAGCTCTTGCAAGTTTTGAAAACGAATGCGCGCGGCGCTAAGGCGAGAGCCACATTTTGAAAACGACCCGCCCTCAATATGTAAATGGTGAGGATGTCTCAGGCGAAACGGCCGGCCCGCCCTACAAATTGGCCTCGGGGTGCGACAGGGAGGAGCTCTCTATAAGGAGAAGGCATGAAAGAGGAGGAGGAGGAGGAGGAGGATGAGGAGGAGGAGGAGGAGATGGAGGAGGAGGATGAGGAGGGGGGGTCTCCGCGGGATCCGCCTGTCTTCCACTCGTGCGCCCTGACCGTTGCAATGCGCGTTGAACTTTCAGGCTGTGTATGTTTCGTGAGGGGATGGGGGTGGGGAGGTGGAGGACAGGAGAGACTCGTAGTCCTCCTCCTCCTCCTCCTCCTCCTCCTCATTCTCATCATCCTTCTTCCCCGTGCCTCGCTCACATCTCATAATCGTTCCTCTCTTCGTATCATTATCAGCAGCAGCAGCAGTATCATCATCATCCTCATCCTCATCCTCATCATTGTCATCAGCGTCATAAGCATCAGCATCATCATCAGCAGCAGCATCCTCATCAGTATCAGCATAATCAGCAGAAGCATAAGCATCAGGTTCAGCATCAGCATCAGCAGCATAATAAGAAGAATAATCATCATCACCATCATCATCAGCAGCATCATCATCCTCATACTTATCATCATCAGTATCAGCATCATCAGCATCATCATCATCACCATCCTCATCGTCATCATCATCGTTGTCATTATCGTCATCATCATTGCCATGATCAGCAGCATCACATTCTCCCTAGTCGCCCGCACCACCATCACCATCATAGCCATCATCATGCTCGTACTCATCATCCTCATCAACATCACCCTCTTACCTCAGTGCCCTCATCCGCATCTCCTCGCCACCATGAGCATAAGCATGTGGATCATCGTCATCGTCGCCCTCCGTCGCATGTATCCGTGTCTGTGCCTTCATCGTAGTATGCCTCGCCGTGCTCCGCATCTTGCTGGAAGCCGACCGTCTCGGCGTTCCCCTTGCATGGCGAGGGATGTGTGGGCGCAGGCGCTGTACGACAGCCTGTGCCAGCAGCGGAAGAGCAACGGGCTCCTGTCCTCCTATCTGCCACGGGAGGGGCGCGGGCCCAGCTCGTCGGGCTGGGGGGGCCCAGACCTCCTCGCGCCGTGCGAGGATCACGACGGAAGGTGTTCTGGTCATGTCTGCAAGCTGGGCCTGCCCCTCAACAGGGGGAATATTCAAAAATAGTCCATATTGTATTTTTGAATATTTTTGGGATATGTTTGAATATGTTTTATTTGTCGTTTGAAATCGGCCTGTAGGGGGACAGGCCCGACCTAATTATATCTTGCTTCCAGGGAGTCGGGATGACAAACCCGTCCCTGGGAAGGGGGCCAGACCATCGTTGGGCCCACTTTCGGGGGAGAAGAATTACACCAGAGAAAAGCCCCAATCAGTGGATGGTTTTCGCTGAGGAGATCGACCGGGAACCCGGGAACCCAGAACCCTCCGAAATCGGCCCGGAACCAATGACCGAGAACCCGGGAACCCGGAGCCGGGAACCCGGGAACCCAACCTACCAAAGTCGGCAAGGAATGTTCGCTAAATGTTTCAATTTCCGCTAGGACACCTTCAGTACAAGCACGGATTGGGGAACAAGAGAATTCAGGCCGCCCTGACTCCGGATCCGCCCTACTTTGGGGAAATTCGTAAGTGGGGCTTGGAATTTCCGCCTTACTTTTCAAGCCCCGCTGATGCCAATTTCCGCCCTACTTTTCTGTTGTTGTTTCTGTGGTATGTTGGTTGCAGCAATTTCCGCCCTACTTCTTCGGCCTCTCATAGGCGGATTTCCGACGCAATTCTAAATTGAAAAAGGGCCAAAGTAGGGCGGATCCGGAGTCAGGGCGTGCCAAACGTCGGTTCTCATTCGTGCTACGGTTGCCGCCGTCGTCTTCTCGTGGTCTATGCGGCCTTCGTGGGCGCCTCTCTCGCCGCCACGGCTGGGCTGCGCGCTGAGAGTCCAGAGGCCGTTTACTACGCGGATGCTCCATTTCGGGAGCTTCGAGACGAGGGCCAATGCAAACGGGGGTCAGCCAGAGCACCCGATCTTGCAGGATCCTGCAGGGCCAGGGCCGCATTGACCCGGGTGTGGGTGCAGGATCCTGCAGGACCTTGCAGAATCTTTCGCATTTACCCGGGTTTGAGTGCAGGCTCTTGCAGAATCGCGCAGGATTCTGCAAGGCCTGACTGACCCGGGTCTGGATTGACCCGGGTCAGAAGATCCCCGATCAATTTTTCCAGTGTCTATGCTCGGAAACTAGATCCTATTCATTACCAGCGGCGGGCTGTTTTTCAATCCAAGGACTTTTTGAGGGTCCGGGTCGACGTCGGGGTGGTGTGGTGTATACCGTTTTTCCCCTTTCCCGGGAAAGCCACGGAACATGTATACACCAGGGGCCCATATACACCAGGATCCGTTTGTTTGTGCAAATTTCAACGCAGGGCCGGAAAAAGCGTCGGTGTATAGAGCTCGATCCCCGATATATCATACCACACCATATCCGATTGGAAGCGGGTATGGCGGCGTAGCAGTTCTCTGGCGGCCGTTTGGAGCGCAGCGCTCCTTCGGCGACTGTCGCATCGCGCGGCCCAGGAAGTTATGTTGACAGCCAGGACGGATGATCGTCTTGATTGCTGATGGTCATGACTTCCAGTGGTCGTGATGTTTGATTGTTATCACCTACGGGCACGCACTCAGGAGCGCACGATGGACAGGGAGCCAATTGTGTGGGCTAATAAGGAACAGTGATAAGCCCCTCCCCGAAGGGGAAACGGGAGGGGTGGAAGAGGAAACGCCCTAAACCACCTACGCCCAGATGGCCGGCGGGATTAGTTGCCCAACAAAGTGCACAGCATAGATTGCACATCACCGATTCTCCTTCCTAAAAAGAAATTTGGATCTACCACCCCAGTTGTATCCGCATTCCTCACTGTGATCTTACAGTGTATGTATGGTTCTGCCCGATCGTTCATCTTAAATCTGAACCTTACCATCCCAGCTAGGCATTTTTACCGCCCTTCCACACCATCCCGCGCACATTCGTTGATCCCAAATCATCCATGTTCAAGAACCCAGTGCAAAACATGTGCCAACGTCCACACGCCCGCCGCGTCGCGGGCGCGTGTCAAAGTCTTGCAAGCACCCGTGGCGAAGTAACGATTTCAAGGCCGAGGTTCGCGAAAACATTCTAGATATAATCGCTGCGCAACATGAGATTTCATAACATGCCTGCGCCCGCTATTGTGCCGTATACGAACATATCTGTCAAATTACGCCACGCGGGCACCTTCGCACGCGCATGTCAACATCATTCGAACGCAATTGCGCGTTGGCTGGGGGTATGGCACGTTGACTGTCAAATGGTACCATGCGGGGCACTCGCGCTTGGGATCGCGCGCATTTCGAAATTTATCCACGGCCTTTATCGCTGACACGTGGGCCATCATCGCCATCCGCGTGACATGCATCGGCGCTGTCATCGGCTCTGCCGTTGTCATCGTCATCAGGTGTCACTATGATACCACGCCCACCTGAGTCACCGACACGTAGTGAAGTGCCCGCGCGTAAGCGCGTCCTGCGACACGCGTTGGGCAGTTTCCAGTGGCCAGCGCCACCGCAAAGTTGCGGGTGGGTGGGTGGGATGCTTGCCCGAGCAGTGGAGTTGACAAATGTATGTTCGGCAAGGTGAGTTGCACCGCATCGGTTGCACTATGTTGACTATGCCGCATATATTGCACCACATATATTACATCACATGAAGTGCGCCGAATAGGTTCACCACGTTGATTGCACCACATACATCGCGCACCACATAGTTTGCGCCACATATGTTGCACCACACATATTGCACAACGTCGAGAGCACAAGATATATTGCATAACATAAATGCACCACGTAGGTTGTACCACATGAGTTGCACACCCAGGCTGCACAACACTTACTGCTAGAAGCATACATGTTGGTGCCCACGCTGGCTAGCATCATGTTTAAGGTCCAGATCCCTGGAAACGATACACAGCAGCCTTGTCTTTTTCAGGGCCCGTTGAGGGTCCACGTCACGAAAAAACGTGATGACAGATGTCAGTGGTTGGCGTCTTCAGGAGGAGAAGGTAGGGATCCCCTGATGGAACAGCGCGGGCTGGGAGAATCACCCGCACTACGGGGCCGCCTTCAAGCTCATGGATGCAGACGGTTTCGCCGCATCGGCCCGACTGTGCAGCTCCCCATCGCCATTCGTTTTCTTCATCCTCCTCGTCCTTGTCCCCTTCGCTGGAGCCTCACATCATTACCCAATGCGGGGACATGCCCCTGAGAGCAACGAAAGCAGCCCCAGTCTTTGAGCGCGAGCTCCATCATTGCTCAGTTCCCCCCCCCTTCCGTCTCCTTCCCCTCTTCGCTCTACTCCTCATTTGCATCATCATTCTCATCATCATCAACATCAGCAGCAGCATCATCACCATCCTCCTCATCACCATCATCATGACCATCGTTGTCTTCATCATCATCATCATCATCATCATCATCATCATCATCATCATCATCATCATCATCATCATCATCATAATCATACGTAGCCATTTTGGCTCAAGAGTGCACGGCTCGAGTACGAGGCGGGTCCGTGGGCCGCCGAGCTGCCCACCGAATCGGTCTTCGATTTCTACGCGGAGGCGGACGACCTCCCTGGCACCTCTGTGTCGCTGCTCGCCGCCAGCCAGGCCCCAGATACCGATGGGCGCGCCGAGGGCGGCCGGCGGCGGCTGGCTGCGCGGGTTTACCGGGGGCTTGCTGCCCTCGCGGCGACGCGGCTGTGGACCCGTCTGCCTGGACCTCGGCGGGCGCGCCTGCTCGCGGGCGGCGGGCTGGGCGCTGGCGCTTTCTGGAACGGCTTTATGCGAGAAGGCGACGCGGTGCTCCGCGACTCCGCCTTCGTCGTCATGTTCCGCCGCCGTCTGTTGCTCGACCTCCTGGGGGCTCCGTCCACGTGCGCCTTCGCCTACTCCCAGGACGCGGCAGCTGGCGAGGAGGGGCGCCAAGGTGCGTGTGGCCGGCCGCTGGATGTTGCGGGCAACCACGCGCTGTGCCGCCTTGTCGGGCCAAATCGCATCAGGCTGCACAACGAGATCGTGCGGGCCCTCGCCGAGTGGATCTCGGCGCACGGCGGGCATGTCGACATCGAGCGCTGCGTTCCGGAGCTCTACCGCGTGCAGGGCGACGGGGCCATCGAGGAGGCGCGCATGGACCTCGTCGTCAGCTGGCCCGGCGCCCCGGCCCCTGTGTGGGTAGACGTCACGGTCCGCTCGGCCGGGGAAGGGCCCGCGGAGCGGACAGTCGGTCATGCCGCGGCCGACGCCGAACGCCGGAAGCGTGACCGCTACGGCGCCGCGGTCGTCCCCTTCGCCGTGGAGACGGAAGGGCGCATGGGCCTGGCGGCGCAGCAGTTCATCGCAGAGGCCGCGGCCGCTGCGCGCCGCGTTGCCACGCTCCCCGGTGAGCTGGGCAGCCGGCAGGGCGCCGACTACGCGCGGCAGCTCGCCACACGGGTGTCGGCGGCACTGGTCGCGCGGCTCGCGGACCTCCTGCTGGCGGCGTCGCAGGGCGGCGGGCCGGGCTCCTGGCTGGGCGCGCGGGCGTAGCTCATGTTGGATGTGGCGGCATAGTACGACCATTGCCGCGCTCCAGGGGGATCGGGCATCATCATCATCATCATCATCATCATCAGCATCATCATCATCATTATCATCATCAGCATCAGCATCAGCATCAGCACCACCATCATCATGTTATCAATCGTAGTATCACACTTGTTCTGAATCACATCATACTTATTATTATCAACAGTCTCACCATGCTTATTCGCATTATCATGAATGTCTGTATTATTAGTACTATTCGTGTTCGTTGTGTGACTGTTATTGTCAGTCGCATCCTGCTTCTTATTGTAACGGCCTCCGGCCAGTGCCGCCGATCCGGGGGGCTCTGGATTCAGTGATCTTGGAGTCGTCGGGGACGCTATTTGGCAGGGAGGGCGCTCTTGGAGTCGTCGGGGACGTTTTTGGG